TTAATGCAGTCATGGCCTGTATCCGGTCGGCCTCGATGAGCATGATGTGGAATGGGGCCTTGGGAGAGGAGTTTACGCCCACCCGGGGAGTGCGGCAGGGAGACCCTATCTACCTCTACCTCTTTGTCCTATGCATGAACAGACTAGCGCAACAGATTTGTGATTCGGTCAACGCCCGAGAATGGCGACCGATTTTCGTTGGGCGGGGCGCAGTGCAGGTCCCGTTTTTTATGTTCGCAGATGACTTGTTACTTTTTTTGGAGGCTTCGGACGATCAGGTGTGTGTGCTCTCGCGAATTCTACATCATTTTCGTGCCATCTCCGGCCTAAAAGTTAGTGATGCCAAGACACAGGTATTTTTCTCAAAGAATGTCCACATACAGGAGCAACATCGCTTAGCGTCGGCTCTCAATTTCACGTTAACCGATGATCTAGGCAAGTATTTGGGTGTCCCTATCCTTCATGGGCGGGTCACCCGATCCACCTATGCTCATATTGTAGAGAAGGCCGAAACTCGTCTTACTGGCTGGCGAATGCAAAGCTTGTCACTAGCAGGTAGAGTAACTCTTGCCCAATCCGTTCTGAATACCCTGCCATACTACACAATGCAAACAGAATTACTTCCAAGCACGACTTCTGAAGGACTTGCACGGCGATCCCGAGCCTTTGTGTGGGGAGGGACATGTGACCGTAAAAGGGTACACTTGGTGGCGTGGAGAGATGTGTGCAAGCCCCGCGAGGAGGGCGGCCTCGGGCTACGTGACCTTCGCCGGATGAATGAGGCTTTATTAATGAAGCTCATGTGGGGACTTTTGACGAAGCCGTCGGCTTTATGGGTACGAGTTCTCAAGGCAAAGTATGGGTTAGATTTTACTGGTGGATTACACGCAGTAACATGGAGAGAGGGTTCCTCGTTATCTCGAGCTTTACGGGCAGTTTGGCCAAAAGTTTGGCAGGAATAAGATGGTCCGTGGGAAACGGCGAGACGACCAACTTCTGGCTCGACCCGTGGCTTGGGTCGGAGGGCGCTCTGATCACAAGGGTTACGGAAAATCAACGGGTGGACTGCGTGACCTCAAAAGTAGTTGATCTGGTGTATGAACGTGGGGACTGGAAATGGCACTGCCTTCATGGAGTGTTTCCTTCTTCATTAATAACCCGAATTGCTGAAATCCCACCCCCACGACCGATGGCAGGCGACGATCGACTCATTTGGTTTGCATCTGAGGATGGGCGTTTCACGACGAAGTCTGCTTATCACGCGATTTCACGGTGCGGGCAGGAGTTGGAACCCCGGCTATGGCGTCTAATTTGGCGCGCCCAAACCTCTCAACGAGTCCGAACCTTTTTATGGCTAGCAGCGAAAAAACGGCTCTTAACTAACTCCGAGCGTGTGCGGCGCCATTTGGCGGCATCTGGGGCTTGTGATTTTTGTGGTGGCGAGGAGACTATAATTCACGTTTTTGCGAGATTGCCCGCAAGCCCAGCGGCTGTGGCAACGGCTGGTACCGGCGGCGAGTCGGGCCGACTTTTCTGGGACGGATCTACTGCCATGGCTAAGCTGAAATCTGCAAATTGTAAAGCTGGTGATAATCGATAATTGGTCTAGCTTATTCGCGGTGGTTGTGTGGAGGTTATGGAAGTGGAGGAATGACAGAGTTTTCTCGTCCACTGGTCCTAGTATTACGGTGATGCACGATGTAGTCCTGAGAGATACCGAGACCTATCTGAGGGCGGCAGCGGACTACCGACGAGTCGGGGCCCAAGTTTATGAGACACGCTTGATGCGGTGGAGCCCACCGGCGGCGGGGTGGGTGAAAGTCAACACGGACGGCTCGGTTAATCCCTCGTCAGGCTCAAGTAGTGCCGGGGGTCTCTTACGCAATGATTTGGGGCGTTGGTTAGGGGGATTTACCATGAATATTGGTCTGGGCACGGTTTTAAGCTCCGAGCTTCGGGGATTGCTACACGGCCTCACTTTGGCGTGGGATCGGGGGTTTCGACAAGTTGAGGTGGAGGTGGACAATCTTAATGCTAAGAGACTAGCTCTACGTTCGACCAGTGACATTGGGGATCAAGATGTTCTAGTTCGGGCCATTCAGGAAATTTTAAAAAGGAATTGGGTTGTTCGGGTCCACCACGTGCATCGGGAAGATAATTATGCGGCGGACTATCTGGCCCGCCTAGCGGCTTCATACCCGAGCGGACTGCACATATTATCTTCTCCTCCTCCTGGTCTAAGTATTTGGATCGAACATGACCGCATGGGTGTGGCTCGCCCTAGACAAATTCTGAACTAGGATTTGATCTCTTTCTTTGTACCAAAAAAAACTCATAATG